CCCCCTCCCCACCCCCCCCGCCAAAAACATTGCAACTGGACAACTATCGCGTGCGGACATTTCAATTTTCCAAACGATGCTCCAACAAAAAATACTGTTTGAAAATACAAGGGCCACTCGGGTACAAGAGCGAATACATCACAATGGTCCTTACATTTCGGAACAGAGTGGTACCACATACTCCCAAGTACAAGCAAACAGTGCAACTTCTGTTGAGGGGGAGGGGGGTCCTCCTCGCCTCGTTTCCTTCACAAGTAGTGCCAGACAAGAAAAGCATGCACTCACCGCGAAAAACGCGTACACCGCCACCGGTCGGACGGCTACGGCCACTGCCGCGGCCACCGCGCCGGCCTCCTCGATCAGGCCGAACAGGCACTCGCTCCACATGTACAGCAGCGTGCCGCCCTGGATGAGCTTGACGATAAGGGTGGTGCTGCCGATGGAGGCAGAGGCTCTGTCCCACTGCTCCGACAACTGGGGGTAGAAGGAAAAAAAAAGGAACAACGACGTCAGCAGGCGTTGTCAATCAAACGCGAGCACGCTCGTTGAGGGTGATCTGCTGCAGCCAACGCGCGGTGCTGCCCGTGAGCAAGGCCCCACTGCTCTCAAAACAAAGCCGGGCGGACAATCGACCGAAAATATGTAGCGAGACTGGCGGAGCTGCCGATGGCGATATCGCCTATTTCCCCTTTTGCCCTTAAGATCGGTGAAGATCAGTTCACCTGAGCTCCCTCCATGACGACAGCGAAGGGCATGAGGAACAGCGTTCCCGACACGAAGACCATGGAGCACAGCTGTCCCTTCAGCGCAACGGCCTCTTCCACCATCACCTGATTGCGACGCACCCCCAAGTTTGGAGCCAAGCCGCAAGCAAGGTATACACAGACAAGACGAGACAGGAAAATTAGCCTCATCCTCGGAGGAAGCAGCGAAGCAACGGCGTGCTCCGCAGAAGAGGGAGCAACAAGTGCACACACCAAGTACGACCAAAACTCGATAAAAAACGAACAGGATTCCAACAAGCACGACCTTTACGTTTACGTTTCGTTCACGCTTGTGTCCAATTGTCCGTGAACACGCGGGGGAGGACGGCCGATAGGTAGTGGACAGGGCTAACGGGTTCTTCCGTGAGGCACCAGATCGGAGATTGGCAACCACGAAGCGACTGTAATTGGTGGAGGTGTTCACGAAACTGAGCCGTGTTGCGCAGACCCATAACGTGAACAACGAAACTAGTACAATGCAGTGCCTTGGGACGGCGACATTCCCGCCTGCGGCTAACTCTGCTATCTGAGGCTCAGGATGGGCAGGGGAACACATGGCATCGTTTTCGACCCGCACCAAAAGCAATCGCTCAGGTTATACGCTGAACACGGATACTCATTCGCGGAAAAATCTGTGCAAGCGAAGCTAAGACAGGCGGCATCCAGTAGGTCCGGTCCAGGTTAGGGGCGCAATGCAGGAAGCTCAATGCGCAAACGTAAGAGAGATAGGTATCATAGGGAGACACGCCGGTGAACCTCTATTTCAGAAACGCCCGGGCGTCAGCGATCGTCTGTGTCCAGCCGGACGAGACGGCATCATGGAGGGGACCTTTACTGCCGCAGCATCCCGCAACACGAAGGAGATGGATGCAAGCACGATTTTTCGGGGCGGCGCGGCATACAGCGAATACTGTATGGGGCCCGAAGCGAAGGGACAAGACTCACTTGGTCGGAGAGTGCCGTACGGGCCGAGGAGAGAAGGGCCGCGAATGCTGCAACCGAGTTCGTCACCACCGACCCAGCAGTAATGCCCTGCCAACACCGGCCGATAAGGTTCGCAACACACAAGGCAGCAGCAGCAGCAGCAGCAGTGAAAAACAACGTTAGGCCGTCGTTGCTTGCTACCTTGTTGCATTATTGCGCTAAACAACGAGGCCACCTTCCTGTCAGGCTGCAAGGCCGGAATCATGCTCGTGATAAAAAAAAAAGCGACCGAACAACCAAGAGAACGGTTTTCGAATGGTCCACCTCACTACACACAACAAAGAAAGGGGCGCAAAAAAAGGAGTCCGCCTTCGCTTGATTCGAAACTGAAGTCTTTACTTCTCGATACGCCAGCTAAATATCAGATCACTGTCTCGCATGTAAAGTCACGCTCTTGCTTAACCAGCGCATCGACCATCGGGAAAAACTCAAGCCAGTACGCACACAAGTGCATCTCTGGAAATGCACACAAGTGAGATCGCAACAACGCAAAAGGTTGCCTACTTCGCTAGCCAAGGGAAGCGCCCGAGGGCTTGCACTATTCTCGGGCCTTGTGCTCGTGTGTGGTGCTCTCAGACCGATTACCCAACCACTCTCGTCATTTTCAAGCGATCTCTGTTTAACCATCCATCAAACCACCAGGCTTGTCTCGGAGGAGATGCTCGACTCTACCCTCGACACAAACCGAACCCATCTTGTTGGTAGGGGAACTACAAACCATAACGTACCATTGCATGATATGGCTGAGATGTTTGAAAATACTCTTTTGACCCCCGGAGAAAAGGGCAAGCATCGAGGGTTTTAGCTCTTTACTCTGCTAGGCTCCTCGAGACAACTATAGTCAATTCCACCTCTAGCGGCCGAACAAAACCGCTCACCTCTTGAAACGTCATTAACACGCCCGCCGTCGCTAGCACCAGGGCCAGCCAAGCCACGAGATGCTGCTTACCACCACTCCCAACGACCAAAGACATCACGGAAACAACCACGGGCTCCGCTGCCTACCCGGACAAGGAGGACAAGGGTGGCAGAAGCGTGGGTGTTGAAGGAGGGGGAACGGGGGGTGGATGACTTTTGTTGCCTGTTTGTTACCTGTCTTCCAAACCCCCCCAAAAACAAAAAATGAACACAAAAACGATAATATTTCTTGCGCTAGCATTGCCCACAAGAAATACAGGCTCACCACCGAAAAGACGCCAAAGTTTCTAGGCACACCGCTGCGAGTGTCCCGTCCCTCGAACAACAACCCCAGCCAGCCTCAGGAACGATTCTAAAAAAGGCAGAGCCCGGCAACCATCACACAAGGCGAAAAAGCTTGCCGTGGTGTCTCCCCCCCCTCCCGCCCTTCCGTTTCGAGGCGGGAGGCACCACCTCCTCCTTCCCCTCCTCGTGGACGAAACAAAAGAGCAGTTCCACAGCCTGACCTGAAAAACTTGTGTCACTGCCAGCGACCCCGCCCCTAGCACGCACAGGTGCCCGGCGGCGTGGAGAAAGGCCAAGGGTGCCACCCGCTTCTTCTGAGTGTCGCTGAGGCGAGGAGTTTGTCGCATCCCGATAGTCTTCGCCACAACGGCAAAACGAAAAGCAGCAGCAGCGCTGGGTAACTACGTGGTTGTTCGATTATTTTGCATGCGTCGTCCCAGCTAGCCATTCTTGACGCCAGGTGATACACTTTCCGGAAAGTTTTCGAACGCACCCGCCGCGAGCGCACAAGGGCGGAGGCCAAACACAGAGAGAGGAATGATTTGTTTTGCTCCGTCTTACTTCTGTACAGGGGCGGCCTTTTTTTTTTGAGAGAGAGAGAGACGAGTTCAGCAAGCTCCATTTTCCCTAGTCGACCGTGAAGTCGAATTACATGTTGAGCGCACGAAATGGTCGCTTTCCACGGCAGTGTTCGGGAATACCTTGAGCCAAGCTCCAAGCTCCCACGTACCGTTGCGCCCCGATACTCTGACCCACGTCGGAAGATTTTACTTCGAGTTTTTTCCAACTGGACCACGCGCCGCACATCTTACGAGTTGAACCACGTGCCACACGTCTCCTCTCTCTCTCACCCAAGCTGGGAATATCCAAAGCAACCCGGCCCCGAAATGAAGCGTGGCCACCATCCAAGGCAGCGGGAACTCCTCCAGGGCCGACTGGCTCGTCCTGTCCAGCGCCGCCCCGAGGGCGAACATGAGCGCGACGAACGCGGCCGCCTTGGCGGAGCTCATCCCCGTCGTCGCGAACCGAAATTGGTTGCGCTGTGTGTGTGTGTGTGTGTCGCCACCCGCGAAGCAAACAGGAGGTGTCACCCGCGTCGACTTTGGCGGGAAGGTCGTGTTCCGCTGGTGAAAATACCCGGGTCTTTTTTCGGCGGTGGTAACCCAGCCCCGCAATAATCTTGTCCCGGCTCAGAAAAAAGCGTGTTGTAATATGCCGCCGTTCCGTCTCACCAGCAGTGGGAACAGCCGACCATCCACCGCCGCATGTGGCGCTGCACCGAGATTTTTCTAAGCTCTTGCTGCCGAGGTAAGTCCCCTGGAGCCCGCGCCTTTCCAGGATGGAGAAGAGAGCCTCGCCCGGATGTCGACGTGCTGGCGCACCTAGCTATTTTGCACCTGCTCAGCGGTCTAAGTGGAGCCGCCACCGAGGGATCCTTTACGGGGGATCCGGTTGTGTTTTCCTTAAACTATACACCGGGAATGCTGAGCTGCTCAATCTCCCCGTACCCGCGTGAGCAGGAGGCGTGCTCAGAGAAAAAAACGGTTTCCGTAAATGCGACGTCGACGTCTTGGACGATCCTGCTCCGCTGCCGGAATTTCGAAACGCAAACGCAAGCCGCCAGTCGGATCTGAGCCAAAAACCTGATCTGCACAACCAGCTGGTCTCGCAATTGGCGTAAATGGATCTTGTGTCCTTGTATGGGAGGCCGAAAAATCGTCCTCAGCAGCGCGCGGGTACTGCGAACCAACGAAGGGCACGGGCAGGAAGTGGCGCCAACACAGGGAGGTGGAGAGGGTCAGCAGGGTAAAAATCATTGTGAATCCGAGAAGAAAGCATGGCCCAGAGAGTCCCGATTTCAGAGGAGGGCATCAAGGACCAGCTCTCAGATCTGCCGATGGGGCTGTGACAACAACTAAGAAGGTATTGACTATCGCTGGGTGCAAAAACTCCGCCATCATGTATCCATTCGTCTCACTGGTTACACGCCGCCATCCCCAATCTCACGCACTACAGGTTCGTTCCAAGACAGCTACACTATTGATCTAGCGGCGTGAAACACTCCAGTTGTGCATCCACCAACAGGAGCTCATGAGGTCTGGGTCTTGACGGTGAGCGAAGCAGTGATTTTAGTTAGATTGTGCAGACTTTTCGGACCGCAGCTGCAGCCTCCCCACAGCACGGACCCACAGCAACAGATTTGAGCGTGAAAACCGCACACGTCACTGCTCTGCGGTGGCTTCTACGGGATGCCCTCTGCTGATGATAGGTTTTGAGATCAGGGCCCTTCCAGCGCAGAAGAAGCTGTAGAAGCACCCGTCGTGTCTTGTCTTGAACATAGATTTGCGGGATTTCTGTCTTGGTTTGAGAGAGGTGTGTCCCTGGAGGTAGACTACATGATACTTCGTATATGTATACCTGGTTTAGACAAGCTCCAACCGCTGCTCCGTGCGGGAAATAAGAGATCGTTTCCTGCGCAACACGTCCCAACTCCGTGTACTGCTGTCGTAATTGTATGCATATGCATAGACTGCTGTGCAAAGTAAGTATCTCCATGTGGCAAGTGAGTACTCTTTCGCGGTTGTTTTTGAATCAGTCATCGGCTTTGGCACCTTCGAGTGCTACACACACCATGCTGCACCAAGCATGCATGTAAAACGGGCATCCCAAAGCTCATGCAGTCGTTTGCTAGTTATAGATGCCTGTTGGGGGGCGGTGGTCATCACGCCTCGCAGAATAACACAAGGGGCTAAGCCTGCGTGGGGGTTGGTCATTTTGCACAAAAAGCATGCAAGAGGTCGCTACAATTCACTCTCAGCAGCTAGACTAAGGGTCACCCTACCGGGCCCAACAGAATCACTTCCCCCAGGAACCATTGTCGTCCTTACCCGAAATCAGCAGCTATCCCACACAAACTAGGCGGAAGCTCCAACAACCCGACGGGCTTCGATAGCGGCGCAAGCAAACTGGGTGTGTGTACATTGGAGCTTGGAGCTAACGCGCTGAAGCTGGGGTGTCGCGTTTTTTTTTTCATCGGGGAGTTGTACGGATTGTCAGAATGCTTGTTTCGCCATGGGGGGGCGGGGAGGGTAGTTCGATCTTGTTCGAGATCCGAAGCCAAAAACAGCACTCTCATTTATATGCTTGCGCGGACAACGTTGTTGCATCCGTATGCCAACACAACGAACAAGGTATTACGACGATGACGTACACACCCCTAGCGTTCAATTGGTGAGCGGTAGAAAACATATTCGAGAGGCTGAGAGGCGGAGACGCGGCACATTTTTTTTTCCCGGTCCGCCATGATATGTTGTTGTTGTTGTTGTTGTTGTTGTTGTTGTTGTTGTTGTTGTTGTTGTTGTTGTTGTCTTCACAATAAAAATCGTTCCAATATCTCTCTACCTAGTACCTTTATGTGTCCGATCCCACATTTGACGCGGTCGATTCCCGTGGTCACAGGTTAACTTACCCTAAGAAGGCGCACTCAAAAAGACTGGCCCGGAGGGGTTCGCAAGTCAATAGAAATCAACGACCGATATTCTGGAGTCCTCCGCTCCCTCTGCGCGCTATGCGAGGTAACAACTGAGACTAGGAGTCAGCATCACGGGCCAGAGTGAAAGGGATACACCCCCTTGATTCAATCTTGGTGCTTCACAACGCAAGCAGAGACAAGGCCATCTGACACAGAAAAAGATAGAAAAAAGATATGACCCAACGAATCCATTTTGTCATTGTAAATTCGTCACTCTACTGGCTCTTTTCTCCCTTTGCTTGTGTGCGTCCTCTTTTTTACTTTTTTTTTTGGCTCTCTCTCACGCAACAGTCATAGTTTCCCACAGGCGCCACGCGAGCAAGGAAGCACATAACGTCACCAGGACACAGCGTCGCAAGCCCAAGCCTGCAGGTTCGACTGAATCGGGTCGCTGGTAGTACCATGTGCCATGTTGGCTTCAGAGAGTTCGCATGCCAGCGTTGTTGGCTGCATGCTCGTGCTGTCAACGCTTACGCAGGCACCGATTCTCTGAGAGGCCAGAGTCAGGTTTTCAGCAGACATTATTTGCGCACGTATATACCATGAAAGAGCTACGAGTACGTACCGCAAGGCCTGCAGCAGTTTGTGTTGACCCCTGTCCACTTGTCAACAACAGAGTGCAGCGCATGGTAGCCAACGTGGCAACAATGCACGAAGTAGAATGCAGCCGCGCGTTTTGTTTGCACGGGAGCTGGAGCTGGATGGTGGTGTGCCTGCCGAAAGTGATGTGATGTCAACGCTACCTGCACACGAGGGTCTCACCCTCACCACTTCCACAGCCGCAGAAGACAGCGGCGTCTCCCCGCCCTCACCCCGCGAAGTAGTCTGAGTGAGGGGCGTGTGTTGGGGTGATGGTGTTGTCCTAGGGGAAAGGTTAAGCCCCCCCCCCCCACGCGGGTCTCTCGGTGATCGTAACTCTGTAGGTTCTTGTTTCTGCGGGATTCGCCGGCCCCCGGAACACACGTGTTCCACGCACGCAGAAGTGGGTCTCTGACACACACATCAAAACTATTTAAGAGACAGCACGTACAACCACGGACGCAAACGAGGATAACGCACACATATTAGATATTTTTGTTCCCGCTGGCATAACCGCTTCTCCGGTGTGTAAGGGCTCGACGAGTCCAGTGTCGAGCGCGTTTCCCCCCAATCCTCAAGGTTCAGACGACTTCAACTCGGTCCCGTGGTCCAGTCATCGCGATTTAAGCGGGTGGTCTTTTTTCTGGTAATTTTGGAAGCAACAGTAGATGCAACAGCAGCACCAAGTGGTGCTATGCATGCGTACAGCAGTAGTGCCTGAACAGCTTTTTGTGGATTTGTAGCGCAGCAGATCCCAGGATCCCAGGATCCCAGGAAGGAATCCCCTCGTCCTGACACCTTCCTTCTGTTTTTGTCAGATGGTATATCATTATCTATCTGCACAAAATGATCAACTTGCTGCTGTCTCTGAGCCTTGTTGTTTGTGCCCATGGGGGAGATTATCATTGTATGCTAGTACGTGCTGCAATATGCAATATTACTGCTGTGGGGAACAGCGGTGCAAAGACAGCACAGCGAGCGGTGGACTAAAATGTGTCCGCACTTGCCGATGAGTCCAGTATCCAGCCAGAGGTGGGTTCCCCCAATCCTCACGGTCAAGACGATTTCAACACGCCCCATCTTGAACGGGTTACTGTAAGCGTGCGAGAGAGCGCACGGGGATGCAATCGACTTTTCCTTGTTCTACTTTTTGTTGTTGACATTTTTTCGTACGGGATGCGATATATCAACAGCAGTAGCTGTGGGTGGTTCTTGTTGTTGTTGCCTTCACATTAAAAACTTAAACCCGTTCAAGTCTCCGCTCAGTACCTTCGGGGTGTTTTGTAGTTTTGGCTTTGCCTTTTGTTTACTTTCTGGTTTTTGGGGACGCTTTTTGTCATACATATCAGGCGACGAGACAGTCAATCCGCGACATCACCTTGGTAGGGTGTCGTTGGGTCGGTTAAACGTGGTTTCTTCAGTTGTTAGCTGTGTGCCGTCACTCCAGGGAAACACAATTCCTGTTCAGCATCCAGATGGAGATGGATTATCGGCAGGTGACATGCGATTGCGTTTTACACTTGCGTGTTTCATAATGAGAGGGGTGGTACAGAGGCATGTGCATTGTACATGTCATGTTGACATTTGTTAGGTAATAAGGGCCTCCCCTCGAGTGGGCTCATGACAGCAAAGCAGTGTCACCCAAACGAGCGATGCAAAAGATGAAGGGCAAAAGAGGACCAGCCCACAGCTGGCCGCCAGCTGCCAGTTGTCATGTGAAGTTTTTCAAGTCCAACTCGTATAGAATCGTATAGAATTAGTCCTCTTGTAAAAATATTTTTGTCCTCTTCAATATGTGTGTGTCACGTCTCTGACGGGAAAAAATATAATATGGCATTTGCTGGGCTCTCAGCCACAGCAGCGGTTGCCAGCCCCGTCTCTCAGCCCTCACTGCACAGCATTTCTTCGCCAACAGTTTCAATAAAAATTCCTCTCAACCGATAGTCGTCGCACACTCCCCCCCCCCCCC